CCTTGCCTAACCCACAACCCGACCCGATAACGTAAAAAAATACCCGAAACCCGCTTAAAAAACCAAAAAATCGACCCAACTCGGTCGGGTTGGGTTGGGTCGGTCGGTTTTCGTGGGTTGGATTGGGTTTTGCCCACCCCTAATCACAATACATGTTTAAAGGATCGCTTTAATTGACTAATATCCTTTAAATAATAGCACCACACATTTAAATATACAAAGTGTGGCCCCAAATATGTTGAAATTATCCAACATCTAATAGGTGAGAGATTTTTGCACCAATCAGCCATTTCTTCCCTATTTATAATTTAACTAATATTTGAATAACGTCTAAGAGAATTCAAGTGTGATATTGACTGTTTGAAAATAAAGGGCGCAATTAGTTTTTTTCATTTTTGCATGTGATAAATATATGAGCAGTCTCGAGTAGTGTATATTCGTTATTTTGAAATAGCATCATTCGCAATTAATTTGTGCAAAAATTTAAAATGGAAATAGTTATGTTGACAGTGTAGTGAGAGAAATAGCATCCCATAATCCTGAATCGATTTTACTTGGGTTCATAAATCCCAAGTTTGTGTTTGAATTTAATTTATAGATATAGTTTAATGAGAAAAAAAAATAATTTTTAAGGTGAAAATGAAATAGTTCAGAAAACTAGTATGTAAAGTGTTACACAATGTAATAGAAAGGGTGTAATTTCTTATTTTCAATTATGAATATGTTGGTCTATAAAATATTTTGCAGCGAAAGTTATTTTATTTTTTATTTTTTACATATTGTAAAGTGTAGTATGTAAAGTGTAAATACACTCTTTATAGAGGTTGTATTTTGTAAATTTCCCAATTTTCTATACACAAGTCTCCATTCATTAATCAATAAATTTTTTCTTCATCCTCTTGCTTCATATTCTGAAGCGTTGCCCAAGCTAAAGATTATATAAAATATTTGATCGAAGCCACTATGTACTTACTAAACACACATACTGTATCCAACACATGTGCACACACTCACTCACACACAAAAAGAAAAAAAAAAGGAAAAGAAAAGAAAAGAGATACAAAAAACACAAAAAAATTAAATATTCAATAGCACGCTATTGTGGCTTCCCTTCGGTACTGAAGCTACCAGCCCTCATGTCCAAAATTCAGGCGAAACAAAGCTTTCTGTGTAGGTAGCGGCTTCAAATTCAATATTATCGCGTAAGGTATGAATCTCACAAGTCTGCATTGGCTCATACATCAAGATATCTGATCCATAGCTCAATAGAACCCCACCATTTTCTGATATAAGCAAAGTATTTGGCCTAATATAACGATGATTGCTGATATCCAAAGTGTATGGAACTCGAACCAGTTTAGTCCAATATTCTCCATCGCCATTTTCTCCCAAAACCCATATATCTAATTGTGTCTGGTAACTCAAACACACACAAAGTCTCCCTCCTGAAACCATCAGCAATGCATTGACAACCCCTTTTTCATACTTGGGTTTGTCTAACAATTCGAATCTCTCTGTTTTAATATCCTGTGCCACAATATACCAATTCCTTGGGTTATTTCTGGGGTATAGCACTTTCCAGAAGATAGCTCCATTCACAAATACACCGCAGCCAATGAATACGAATCCAGGAGGACCATCAATGAATCTACATGAATCGGTTTTTGAACTGTACACCTTGACATGGGTTTTAATTTCATCCATATCAGCAATTGTCCAACCAGATTCTACAACTTTGTATTCATCATTAGATTCATCATAAGCAAACCCGTATTCTGTATCAAATACACTGGTACTAGAAATGGGTAATTCTCGAGACTTTTTTGTTGCTGGGTTCAAAATAATTACAGTATTTAGACCCAAAACTAGGCACACCAACCCATTGCAAGAACCTACAATCCGTAGCATACTGACGGGTTCAAATAAAGGATGATCAAGAGGAACAGTATCCATAGATGCCAAATCTCCTGTTTGATCGTATAGGGGAAAAGTATAGAGATCCAGAGAATTAGAGGAACGTCCCAGAATTAGTTTATTATGGGAGTATATACTGTTATAACTCGAAATTTTGAGATGAGTTTTCATGAATTCTGAACTGGAGATTAAAGATAGCCATGATCTGCAAACAGACCGGAATTTCAATAGGGTTTTCACGGGGAGCCTCAATAATATCTCTCTGACCATCTCTTGAGGAAGAATCGGCAAACACTGAGAGAACTCGGCCTCCGGTACAGCGTTGAGGGATAGGTTATCCATCTGCAACGCCGTTGCCGATTCGATCGACATTTTTATAGACTGCTGGATAGAGAAAAATGAACTGATTTGATTTGATAAACCCTAGGATGCAATGGGGTATTTATATAGAGGGTTAGGACTAAGGAGTAATAAATTACAAACCGAAAGCATTAATAAAGTTTGCACCTCCGGTCCTCGAACATTTTCTCAATGAAAACTTGAATCCCATTTTAAATTTCCTTGATTTTACATATTCAAACTTCCAATTTAGGGGAATATCGGTCTATTTGGACAAAAACAATTCAAACTTCTTGCAGATTATCACTTTAACCATGGATATTCCCGTCAATCAAATATTTCTTCAAAAAGAAAAACAATGGAAAATGTAATTGTTTTTTTTTTTTTAATTGTATTTTAAAGCAAAATAATGTGTTGACAAGAATACCTCTGCCTCAAGTGCTCATTTCACAGAATTTTGGATGCTTTTCGTACTAATAAAAGATATGTTTGCACTTGTATTCAAAGTTTGGAGATCTCAAAAATAGGAAAATTTTGATTGGGATGTACGTGCTCCAAGTGTCAACGTTAAAGGATAGTAATTGCAAATATCGGGCATGCGTGAGGCACGTCGATGAAGCATCCATTGTGTGTCAAAATTTTAAAACGCGTACACAATGATGCACCACATAGCTTGTCACATGTTTTCTACGAGTGCCAGCATCTTATACACTTCGAACACGCATGACATCCACTTGGGGTAGCATTTATTGCGCGTCGAATTTTTAAAAACAAATATATAAGAAGATGATGCATCACATGAGTTGTCACACGTGTTTCTACGAGTGTTAGCATCTTATACATATCGAACACGCATACCTATTTAGAATTCAAATTCAAACTTGTCTAGTCATATGCAAAAAAGCTCATAGAGGAATAAATTCAAAAACTTTAATAACCTTTTCAGGCGTTTTAACTTTTAATTTTACCAAGATCTGAATAAATCAACTATCAAATAGTTGAAGTTCCATATAGCCTATTAACGAAGGCCTCGACAAAAATATTACTAAGAACCATTAAAGCAATTCAAGATTATTGGAAATGAAAGATCAAAGGACAAAATCAAGAAATCATTAAAGCAATTCAAGATTCAAGATCACTTCCTATCTTTATTCCCATATCTCAATTCTGGTGCGATGCTTATATTTATTCATATTGTGCTATTGTAATTTTTTGATGTTTTGTTAATTGTTTAGATGCTTATATTTGTTTTTTTAATTTTAATTTTTTTTTCACTTTTTTTCTTGGTTAAGAATGAGATTTGGATAGAATTTGAAAGATCTGATTGTTTAGCAGATAGATACTCATTCCAAATGCAAAGGTTCTTCTATCCTAAACGTTAATTTTCTCCTATGCTCTTTCTTCCTTATAATGTATATTTTTTCTCTCTACATTACCACATGTTTGATGGATTATTAATATTTTTCTTTCTTATGCATTTTTATTTTAAAATCTCGAGTGCACATTGATTAGAAAAAGATAAAGGATTGAAAGTCTTAATTCAGAATCGATGGTATAAAAATAAACTAAGTTCTATGCAAATAAACAGAAATTTTGACTGTTTTCAATTTTTTCTAATTAACCGAAGAAAAAAATTTTCAATAGTCAATAATACTTTCAACGTTATTTTCTAATTGTTATTGAACTTTAAAATCTCTCTGTACAGTAACCAAATTTTAAAAAATGTATTATGTGTACTTAAAATTGTATTATTTTAAAACTAAGTACTTAAAATTTTCAATAGTCAATAAACTAAGATCTCCCCAAATTCAATATTTTGTTTTGTACTTAAAATTGTTCTAAATTAATCCACTTATATAACATTTGAGAATTATGAGATTAAATTTTTAATGTTCATCTAATTTTAATTCATTCAACCCCTTTTTATATATGTTAACAATCAAATTAACCAATTATAGCTAATGATCTTTCGAGCAAAACTAATCATATTCATATGTTTGAATTTATTATATCTCTATATAAATTCATATATGTACGACCACATTAGGAATTCTACCAAGATTGCATAGTGTATACTTATTTCTCAATCTCTTATAATACATATGTCATTTATTTAGCGTAAAATTATAGATAATTCTGCATGATATTTCGAAATTATAGATGATTATGGGGAGATCTACAATAATCAAAGAGACGGACAAAAAACCACTGTTAGGAATCGTGTGGTGAAAAACAATAATAGCTATCCCTATTGTTGTATGTTTTCTACCCTCTTTCGTAATAGAAGACGGCGATCGAAGTAAATAATCCATGAATTCTACTCCTATATAAATTCCTCCCAATAACTCAATTTATTCCCATGCAAATTCATAGTAGGTTGTGCTACATATATATCATCACCACTTATAGATATGTTTACTAACAAATGGTGTGATAAAATTTGATGGGGGCAAAATCTAATCAACCAAAAACAAAAAAAACTTTCCTACTTTTTTTTTGACACTTCATCAATCTGTAAAAGAGTATATAAATGATAATATACAATAAGCATTTTTCATTTATATTTACTAGGCCTATTTATTATCTAATCTTACCAAGGCCAAAATTCTTTAAGAAAGTGCAATTTCAGTCCACCTTATTGTACAACCCAAATAATTCTTATTTCAATCAAGTTCTTCTATTTCTAAAGTGTAGACTTTGATTCCAAAATGTATATTTTATCCAAAGTTCTTCGTTCTTGGTAAATAATCACACAATTAAGAACCAAACTCATAATAATACTCACAAAGGCCACTTTTGTGGTTTAGATAAGTGTAATTTACACTTATCAAACACCCCTTAAATTTGAACATTTGTTCATCCTCGAATAAAACATAACAGACACTTAACTTGACTCAATCAATATAAATAACTCAATGTTTCATCAAAATGCATATCTAATTCAACAAAATTGAAAAAGTTAATGAAACATGAGAATTAAAAATTATTTTACAAACTCCAAATATCATATAGTAAGCTTTTGAGAGTATACGTTAATCATTCTCAATTCCACCAACTCCACCAATGCTACTTGAATCGAATTGTGTACTTTATAATCTAATTATGAATGCTTCAAAAATTTGAAAATTAATTAATCCCCAAATTGAAGTAATATTAGGGTTTTTAAAAATTTGGGGGATGTGTTTGATTCGTAATTTTTTCTATTAACAACAATCCAACTCCATTTTCTATATCTAAGCCGAACCTCCTCAATTTAATCACAAAATTTCATCAATAATTTGAAAATTCTAAGTTCCCTACTGTATCGAAGAATAATTTTTTTTTTCAAACTCTCTTGCTGTAATTTCGAATTTGATGGAAATTGATGTTGATATGTGATGGATGATTTCTTCTAACGTGATTTTGGTTATGCATCCTTAGATACTTGAGATTTAGAGAGCCATAGATGTTGTTACATGCTCTTTTATATAAAATAACTAGAAACTAAAAAAATCTTGAAATTTGGGGTTGAACCAAGGCCAGCTGCGGTTTTAATTGTCGCAGCTGTCACCCATCATGAACCGCAACTAACAACGATTTTCAAATATCAACTGTAATTTTTATTTATTATTTGTGTAAAATAAAAAAGTTAAAAACAAAATAGTTGAATTACGGGAGGCCACGGTTTGCAAAGCCGTGAAAAATAGCACTTTCTTTGGGGATGGCAGCTAACCGTGGTTTACAGACTACAGTCAAATGTAAACTTTTTTTTTTTTTTTTTTTAATAACTCATGCTGAAACGAGTCAAGCCTAAATGTAAAGTGAATGCAACGCAAAATCTAAACAATAAGTGTTCAAGGTTAGAGAATGGGCTGTTTCCCATTAAGTACTCAATTTATAGTCTCAAGCTAGACTTTGGTCCAATATTGATCATGGTAGCTCATGCCGGGATCTATCGATCTTGCATTCCTTCTTTGTAATTTACAACATTGCATTCTTTCTTCACTGTCTGTGCTTTGAATTCCCCATGTTACCACATTTTATTTTTATTTTGACAGCTTTATTTCGAAATACTAATTACTCACGATTTAGATATTCCATACATCTATAATCATATAGAGTGAGAGTAACTTTATCTAATTGTTTCTCTCTACTTCTAGTTAATTTTTTAAAACTTTTCAACAGTTTCATACTTGAATTTCAACAAGTATACATAACCATGTCTGGAAGGATTATCGTTAAAAGTGGTGAAATAAGTGAAACCCCTCCAGTATAATTGACGTATCTACATAAATTAGTATGTTTTAGGTCCAATAATTATGCAACTCTTTCTCCTTTTCCCGTAAAATCAATTGACCCCAAATATCAATTGTTTTTTTGTAATTTTAAAATGCATCATTCATTTATGTAGCCTAGTCTTTAGTGTTAGAGATAGGTATTATTTAAGTTGTTACTTTTATGCCTCTTATTTTTTATAATCATAATAGAAGACTCAGTATCTAGAATATAAACATCATTTTGTAATTTACCACAATTATAAAATATCTTATCAAGATAAAATGATCAATAATTATCCATGACATTTGAGAAATGCAAGATTCGACCCAACTACACCTAAAGGGGGGTTGATTAGGTGTGAACGCAGAATTATCAATCTAATTAACTAGCAACATTTCACAAGTTAATTATGTCTAGGTGATTAGTCAAACAATCCAATTTAGCCTATCTTTGAATACCGCAATTATATCACAACAATAAATAAAGCAGTAAACAACACCAGAATTGTTCACGGAGAAACCCAACGTGGGAAAAACTCAGGGCGCTTTGTTAGTCGAAGATCCACTATAAACTGATATTACACTTACAGACCCCCAACAAAGTTGACAACACAAGTTTTCTGATCTCTTGTATGAAGTAAGAAGTAGCCCTCCTGAAATGTGTACAAGAACACCAAACTTGGCTCTTCTTTGTAAAGTGGTCCTCCTGGAATGACCACACGAACTCCATTCCTAACTATTTGCGCAGTTTATCTCATGTAGATCTTCCCTAAGAAC